GAAAAAAATGGGCATGCTCCTGAGATCAGAGTCTGGCAATCAGTTCTGAAAATTGTATTTTTAAATCCAGTAGAGTGTTGTCACGGTTCTAATACACTCGTTACTTAAGCTTTACCACCTGAAGGCTGAGCAAAAGAGCTGCTTAACACAGTCCTCTGAGTCTTCACACTTTTGATTTTACTCTAAAATGTTTGGATATTCTGGCTAAAATATGGAGCATCACGTTTCTTCCTGTTATTATTCCTTTTAGAGGGGATAGGATTAAAAATGCACATACGCAAAAATGATCAAATACAATGTAGGCAAGTCCAACCATTTAACAGTGTATTGATAAAAGTTACTTTATCCTTTGGGCACAGAGGATTTGGGAATATCTGTACGTTCAGATGCTGATAGGACTCATTTGGCTGCTTTTGTTGACTCACAAAACCAGGATGCCAGAAAGGGAATAACTGAGAGGGGGCAGCAAGGCTTCTGGTTTGCCTGTTCTCCAGGTATCAGTTTTAATTCCTTGTTTGTATTTGGCACTATCAGCCTGGATTTCATTTCCTTGCCTTAGCTGGCAGTTACCCCTTGCCCCTGAGCTTTTTGTTTGTAATTTATTCTTCCCACAAATGTATGGCGACGTTTAGTGTTTCAGCCTCCTCCGTGCACTGGTGTCACATTGACTCTCACGGGCTCTGTGCTTGGGGGAGAGTGGTTTGGAACAGAAGGGCTGGACATGTTCAGACTGGGACCTGTTCAGAGGTGCTGTGGGACACACAAGATCTCCAAGAGCACCAGCTGAGGAAGATGCTGCGTCTTCCTTCCTTCCCCTGCCTGACCTGTCTCCACCACATGTTCATGTTTGCTCTGGGTCTCATTTCGAACCCCACCTGCTTTCAGAGCTGCTCTCTGGTCCCTGAATGTTCAGAACCATATATATATATATATATAAAATTTACACTCTTTTAAAATACTTATATACATATATATTTACACTCTTTCAGTGTGTGATGGCAGTTATATGTATTTCATCACATTTCCATCATTGATTCCTGCTGTCATCCCAGGTCTTCCCAGCAGCTCCCCACATTAACCTTTCAGAAGAACAAGTTGTCTCTGAACATGCAGGAAAACTGGTTGCCTTGGACAGCTCAAGAATTGCTGTGGCTCTCATGTGCTCTTAAGAATTCTCTCAAATCCCTCCAGTAGCTGATTCCATGGAATCCCTGACAATAAACCACCCACCCACCCCTTTGGCTCAGCCCTGTCGGAAGCTGCCCTTGGCTCGGGCAGTTGCCACAAACGGCTCAATCCTGTTCTGTATTTACCTTGAGGATGTTATTTATCATTGATCCCCGTTCTCAGTGATGTCTCCCACGTGCACTCAGCTGCTTTGCTGCAGAAAATTAATAATACTTGAGTCCTAAATCTTGGGGGGGCTCCCTTGGCAGCAGCAGCTGCGTGTTCTGCCTGTGCCCCCAGCCGGCACCAAACAGGCTCTCCAGCCCCTCAAGGATCAAGTTGAAAATGCCTGTCCATAAAAGCTGGCTCAGAGATGGCAAAAGCATCTGAAAGAGTAGCTCAGCTCAGTTTCTATAAAATCTGATCTCTCGGGTTCAAATGTACGTGGTGGGGTTGGTGTTCAGCTCCCTCGGCAGGAACCTAGTGGGAACCACTCTGGGGAATTCCACCCGTTATCCTGGGAACGTTGTGGGAATCAACTCAGCGGGTGGCATGTGGGTGCTGGAGGAGGGGAAAGGGGAGTTGTGGGAGCAGGGATGGAGACAAACACTAGATTCTTCCTCCCACACCCATCTTTGAGTTCTGCCTTTCTCTACAGCTGCTGAAAAAGCAAAACTCTGCGATGCCAAACAGCTCTTTATTTACAGAGTGCGGAATCCCCCAATGGTTCCGCATGTTCCGACATCCTTCCCATGGCCCTGCTGGGGATGGACCCATGCTGCAGTGGGTGCCTTTGTGTTTCCATCTTGCAGTCCCTGTTATCCACCATGTTTGGGGTGTTTTCAGCTCTGCTCACATGTGATGTAAATGCAGAGCAGTGCTACTGGAAACGTTTGGGGCTGGGTTTGTCCCACAAGGCCTCAGCCTGACCTTCTCCGAGACATCTCACACGTTTCCCATTTTCTGACCATTTGCCATGGAGGGAAAAAGGAAATTTTTTTGTTTTTATGAACCAGATTTTATTCAAATAATAAATAACAACCTATTAACCCAGCATGCTTTAATGCTCCGAATCTGAATCTAAAGACTAGAGAGAGCACAAACATACCATTAAAAAAGCGTGCGCGGCTCTTCCTCCTGCCCAGCCTCTCCCCCATCGCGCACGCAAGCTGTCTCTTTAATAATGCAAAGGAGCAGTAAATTTCAAGCTGAGGATGGGCAATAACAAGGAGAGTTATTTCCACAATGCCCCAGTGTCAGCCCCTGGCTTAGGCGCACACCTTATTAGTTCTAACAGGCTGGTTAGCATCGGGTCACCTCTGCGGCTCCGCTCCCCGCAGGGTCACCCGGCTCCAGGCGGCATTTCGGGAGGGGGAAGGGAGCTGAGATTTAGAGATTCTCTTCTTACCCGGCATTTTTAGCACTGGTTATTTTTATTTACATACACACCCCTCCTCCCCTTTTATGCTTTGCTTTTCTCTTGCCCCCTCTCCCACCCAAGACCTGTGTAAATCCTGGTGCTGGGTGAACCCCTCCCCGGCAAGCCCAGATAAAGGGACACCTCAGAATGGGGGGTTCCTCTGCTTCTCTTCAGGAGGGAAATAATTCAAATTATTCAGCCTGGGTGTATGTATGGACAAACAACAACATCCATAAGCCATTGTTGATGAAGGCAAGACCAAGGTGATTGCACTCCCAATTAAACATGACGGTAACGTGTCCAAAATGAACACGTGTGTGTTGTGTGTGTGTGCGGGGCGATGCTAAACCCCTCCCTCCCTAAACCTTTTAGGGGCCATAGGAATTGTCTGTAGGATGGTTTTTTAAAGCGAGCTAACCCAGGGATGTGTTAAGATGAATGTTCATTTTTTTCCTAACTGGAACGTAGGAGAAGCTGCCCATTATGGAAATGCACCCGTGGTTGTGGCCCTCTCCCAGCCCCCTCCCCCACCCGCCAGTTCCCATCCAAAAATGAATGCAAAGAAATACTATTAGGCTGTCTGGTTATGTATTTTTTATGAGGCCATACAAGACACTGCCTGACCTCGTCCAGCTCATGTTATAACCACATTGAAGATGCTTTTCATTTGGGTTCTGCTTTTCAGCCTGGGTGACCTCTATTAAATAAAAAAAAAAAGAAAAAAATGGCCTAATATGTGACCCCTGGGACGAGTCGCTTCAAGGATTACATTTAATTCATATGATAATATTGAAATATAATGTTTCTGTGTCTAATGTTTTGGATGTTTTTCTTTCTTCTTTATTTCAGGGACCCTTTGAGTCTTGCAAAGATTTTTTTTTTCTTTTTTTTTGAGTGGGGGGAAGGACAAGTAAGTTGTTCTTGGGGGGCAAATTCTTAAAAATCACCTTTTTTCCCTCGTAAAGCTGGTATGAACACAGCAGCCTGCTCTCCCCCTCACTTTGAAGGAGAACAGGAGAAACAAAGGCAGGGAAATTATTTTTTATAAGAAAGCTTGTCTGGCTCGTCAAAATACAGCCCCACGCTTTGTTTTGGCGTTTGCTTACCCAGTTGATAAGGAGTGACCTGCTTTCCTGGACGGGGGGGCTCGGGCAGACCCCCCTCTACCTCCTTCCTTGCCTCCAGCTCCCATTGTCTGCCTCGGCCCCGCCGCTCCCTTGTTCCCCACGCACACGGAGGGACCGCCCGGACCCTCCACTCGGCTCCCTGTGATGGAGCATCCCAGCATTTCTGAGAGACAACACATATTTCAGGGCTTTATAACTTCTCCATAAAAATGTACTCCGGGATGAAACACGACTCGCGACGGTTCAGCTTAGGAGCAAATTTGCTTTTGCCAATTGCAAAAATAAATTTGACCCTTCCTAAATATTCCGCATGCGAAAAACATTTAATAAAGTACATTTTTTCCCCCGATCCTCGTGCTAAAATCATGGTGGTGTATGGGGGAATTCAACCATCAGTCAGCAATAGGAGCCAAGACCTTGCACTGGGAAGCAACGAAGCCCTTAATCATTCCCAGTAATGACATGTTTGGAAAAAAGTGCCACATGTGTGCACCGTGTATTTTCAGCAAACATCTAATGCGAGGGTGTGAAGCAGTGGCTGCGGTGCACGGTGTGCTTGTGTAAGGGCTTCTCTCCTCCTCCTCCTCCTCCTTCTCCTCAGAGCAGGCTGCTCCAGCCTGGCTGTGCTGCCCCGCTCACAAAAGCCGTGTCCTTGGAACAATAGGCCTGTGCTCCTGGAGCCCTGTCCCGGCACACTGCAACGCCATTTCTGTGATGTTGGCAAGGGGATACGCAACCCTGATTATTTATCTTTTTTGTTTTTCCCCACTGTGACTGGAGCTGTGAAATAGTAACATTAATTTGTGCAAAAAATACCCCTCGAATACCACTCGTGTTGCGATGAACTAGTCCAGGTCGGTGCCGTGTGGTTATGGCTGACCCTTGGTCCCCAGTGTCACGGCGCTCTCGGCGCACCCCATAAAACCTCGTGCTCCTGGGCTGGGGACACTCAGGGCAGGTGAGGGCTGAGCGCTGGGGACACTCGGGGCAGGTGAGGGCTCAGAACTCCCAGCCCCATTGCATTTATTCTCGTCACAGGCTGAACCTCGACAGTTTTTGGCAAAAACCTAATTAGTGCCAGGTCCGGCGCCCGCCTTACGTGGATGTGTGCACGGCGTTTTGTGTAGGATATTAAAAAAATATCCAGGCTTTGGGTTGCCTTTTGTAAGGCATGGAGCTGTGACCCTCCCTCCGCTGCTCCCTCCCCCCGGAGCCCCAGACTTCGCCGTGCCCTGGCTGCGAGCTTACATGGAGTTGTCTTTTTTATTTTTTTTATAAACCCAGTCACAACACGGGAAGAGGAGGAGGAGGAGGAGGAAGAGAGAGAAAGACAGAACTAAAAACCCTTGAAGGATGGCTCTCCAAAATTCCTGGTGGAACCACGGGGAATCCCTGGGAGCGCAGGAGAGGAGGTAAGGCAGCCTGCGCCCACCCTCCTCCCAGCCCCCTGCGCCCTTGCTTTTGGGTGGGAGAGCGGCTGTGGGGAGCGGGAGGGAAGGTGAGCTGGGTGGTGGGAGGTGGGTGGTGGGTGGGTGGGTGGAGGAGACACCTTCGACTCGCGCTGCTTAAGTGGGCGCGGCGCTGATGTGAATATGCAAATGGGCGGCCGGGCGCGTCACACGTGCGGCTGCTCCCCCTCCCCTCCCTCCCCTCCACTCTCTCTCCCTCCCCACGCGGGGCTCGGGGAGCGCGGGGGGACGTGGGGACATGGGGGGCACGGACCCCGTCCCGTCCGTCCTGTCCTGCCTGTCCTGTCCCGCAGTGGGAACAGCGGAGGTGCGAGGCCGGGATTGGAGCAGGGTGTACATGAACACACAGGGAATGGACCGGGGTGGGGGCTGGTACCCCCCGTGCTGCTGATTGATGTCAGGGGCCAACAGGACCCCGCTTTCTGGCGATGATGATGATGGTGATGGTGATTGCGATGATTACTCTCATCATTAGTGGGAATTTGAATTTTGCAATGGTCAGGGCTGGGCAGGGGCACGACCCCTGCGCCCTGGAACTTAAGGAAAGAAAAGACAGGATTTGGAAAATGATTAATTTATGCACTGGAGGGGTCAAGTTACAAAGGTTTCCACACGGCCCCGTTTTTATTGCAAGTATACGCCGAGATCGGCAAAAAGATGGGAAAGACGTTTTTGTTATTAAAGGAAAATCCTTTATTGGAGGGATGGTTTAGAAATTTACAGTCAATGGAATTTAATTTTATCCTTTGCCTTTTGCTTTATCCACATTTTAATAAAAGAACCATGAAGAATAAGAGTAGCCGGGTGATTGCTGAACAAAGCAGATCTTGAGTGTGAATAGGATTTAAAACCGGTGCCTGCGCTCCCCGCGCCTCGCGGGGCCAAGGCAGCACCCCCGGCTGTGCACCAGGGCTGAGGACACTGCCCGTGACAGGGCACACATGGCAACGTGAGGCTAAGATTTCATATTTAGTAGGACAAACTTTGTAGTACATTTTTCTTCCCCTGTGTTTGCCTGCCTGGTGATTTGTGTACACCTGATCAAGTCTTAGGTTTATACTTGGTTATTCCAGGCAGAGGGAGTGATTTCCAGGGGAGTGGAGCACTGCTGGGGATTCTGCCAGCACCCTGAGGTGGGAATGACCACATGTGGGTCTGCACAACATCACTGGCTTTAATTCAGTGGGAAAAAAAAATAAATGCAAAGCAACTCCATTAGTTTTTCTTAGGTATTACCAGGGACTTTAAAAGGATTTACTAATGGGATAACTGTATTCACTAGATTGATAAATAAATAGAAAATCCCTAATTCTCGTGAGGGGTGGGGCTGGAGGAAGCAGATGAAAGTGACTCGTGGGTAAGTGAATCAAACCCCTGCACTGAAATTGCCTGATTGATCCCACTGTGGTGCACTGAGAGACAGAGGAAGGAACAGGTGAAACCCTCTGGAGGAGGGGCACAGCATAACCCCGTTACAGCAGGATAAACCACCCTCCCCTGTGCCCTGCTCTGCCAAACCGTGCCTGGTGTCCCACCTCCCTGTGGCTGTGCCGCCCAGCGCCACGCTGGCCTTCAGCTCTCAGACAGCCCAGTTTGGCAGCGTTGGGTTTTCTCCCATTATGCCGTGGGCTGGTCCCGGGTGCCCGCGTGTGCCTGGCTGCACACTGGGGGACACCCAGCACGGCCTCGTGCCAGGGCCCCACACCCGGGGCAGTGTGGCTGTGAGGGGCAGCCGGGAGCGCTCGGCACAGGCCCGGGCGGGGCTGTCTCGGGCGTTGGTGCCCCGGCCCTGCACACCTGTCCCTGTGTGTGCACACACGGCCTCCCGCCTGCTCCGCCGTGCCAATAAAGAAGAAAGGCAGGGATGAGGATTGTTGCTATTGATCTGCCCAAGGGGATCATTAGGCATCAGTATCAATCTACAAATCAGTGGGCCTGTGTTACTTGCTTGGGCAGTCATTGCCAATTTGTTCCTATTAGATGGCCGAGCCCGGAGGTGTTTGATGAGCAGATTGGGTCTTTATCTCGGCGCTGGAGAGCAGCGGGTGCGGGAGACGCCAGGGCTTTGCAGGATTTCTGCTGTTTGTTTGTTTTCTTCTGCTGAAACCCGGCTGCCTCTTCACTGCTCTGTACAGAATTTTGTAGGGGTTGAATGTGTTTTTACTTTACGGATGGTTTTTCATATCATCAGATTAAACATATTGAAAGTTAAGGAGAAACTATTTTAAAATAATCCCCTCTCTTTTATTCGGTCTGTTTACCAGCAGCACTCCCTCTAAAAATACATATTCATGCCAGATTCTTTTGTTATCCTTTCCAGGTCAGACCCAACATTAGGAACGCAAACAATTTTGCTTTTGCTATCCCAGTGCCTGTTCCTCAGAATTTATTGAGATGCTCTTAGTGAAGTGATTGTTCTCACAATAGTTCCCTCTGTGATTTAATTAATTAAGCCAAAAAATTAAAGCTTGCAGATAATATTTTATTTGAAAGTGTTTTTACATTTGTGTTGTGGAACGGCAGCCCTGGGGGTCAGCAGCCCCTCGGACCCAGCCCTGCTCTGCCTCTCAGAGCTGCCTCCCTCATCTGCATATTTGCAAATGAAAAAAATGTTTAATACTATGCAAAATGAACAACAAATTTAGACCATAACAGGAGAATGGAAATTAATGGCAAAAAAAGGATCAAACCAGTTCACACGAATGCTCTGATCCGACATCAATGCCGTGTTATTTAATGCAAACCTCGATTCCGGCTGTTCCATCTCACTCCTGACACGAACATCGCGCAGTTTAAACATCTGTCCAGCCGTTAAAGACCCTATTGATGCTGCGTTATTGGATTTCTAATTTCCAGGTTTTGTCAGGGGGTTTAACAGACTATATGAGTGTTTATAATTTCTAATGAGTTTAATCTCTAATTTACCTCTATTACCTGGGACTGTCAAATCCCTTTCCCAGCACTTGCTCTGTAAAATTTCAAAATACAGAAATGCAGGTTTCTAAAGAACCCAAAATATTTGTCATATCTTTTATATACAAATATGTGTGCAGTAAACAGAACTATACATTCTTATTCTCTTTGAAGATCAAGCCTGATTTTAATCCTGCCTATCTGCTGCAATCACAATATATTACCTAAACCCAAGTTTCTTTGAGGACTTTTTGGATAGATGTCATTATTTCAATGGAGATAAAATAGGGTGTGTTTTAGGATACTGCATTATTGCTGCCTGATTAGTATTTGATCAAATCCTATCTGTTGTTTTGTCCCTGAGACAATCCAGCTCCTCCACATCCGGAGGCGAATTCGCCTCATTCTGTCTGACAAGTGTTTTGTTGGGGAGCAGCAGATCAGATCCGTGTAAACACGCGGCCGGGGCGGGGAGCGCCGACTTTTAATTTATCATAAACTCCATAGAACTCATTAGCTTTCATCTTTACATCGCACGGGGAGAAATGAGCGCGGAGCGCACTTGGGGAGCCTTTTTTTCCGCGGAGTTTGCTGTACAAATATTTATGGACCTTTCCCTTTGTAGTAGAGATTCCAGTGGCAACAGCTATCACACGATGAACAGCAGCCTGCGACTTAGGGAAGAGGTTGCCAAAAGCTGTTGTTTATTTAGTCGCCTGGCATTTTGTCTTGAAATTTGTTTTGCTACTATTTGTTAAAATACACTGCTCTCCTGGGAGGAGAAATCGGGACTTTTTGCCTATACTCCTTAAAAAAAAAAAAAAAAAAAAAAAGAGGGAAAAAAGCTTCCCAGAAAATGAAATCTAAGTGTGTTTGTATGTAGGAACATAACTTTATAATCAGCGTATTCTGAGGATTTTCAGAGCGGCAGGCTGCTTGCTGCCCATTCACAAAACACACATATGGAGATTTTATGGTGGGTTTTGTTTTAAAGATAATGATTTGTCTCCGTGTTGCAGTTGTTTATGTTTCTGTCTATATCTCTTTCCTCTCCCCTGTTTTATTTAGTAAGGTTTCAGCTGTGAAATTTCTCCATGAAACAATTGATACATTCTCTGCACGCCGTGGCGAGGGGAAAAAAGCCCCTTAGATTAATGGTCAGTGTCTCATCCACACAAATTTGTGTTACGATACTACCGAGAAGCTGCGAATTACTGACAAGATCTAGAATAATTCCTAATGCTGTCGAAGGCTTCATTTTCTCCTCCGCATGATGGATGAGGCATAAGAAGTGCTTTCTGAGATCGTTAATGTGCATCATTCTGTTAAGTGTTATTAAAGTCCGTCTGTCTTCGGCAGCAGAAACAATGGCTTAGCCCTTATTTTGCCTCTCTCTTTGCTAAACTCCAACTGGCTTTTACTAATGTGGCCTGTTTTGGGACTCTTTTCATGGCTGGTTTGTACCACGGCGTTCGGTGGGCTTAGGGTTGTATTTTGAGTTAAATGCTGGCTCGTGGCATGGGAAGGCACAGCGCATTCCCAGTGATTCCATCTGTAACCTGTAGATAATATCCAGACCGCGCAGGATCTGTCCCAAAGCTTCTGTGTAAGCTTGGAAAATAGGATTGAACTTTCCCTTGGAAGGCTGCTCCTGAGGAAAGGAGCCGGTGTGTCCGCACAGCCCTGCCCGCTACAAGTGGCTGCTCCTCTGGGCTGGGAAACAACCTCAGGAGCGTGTGCCCGCTCATCTCCCCTGCATTAATTGTCTGAAAATCTGGGAATTGCTGTCTGAGGACAAAGTGAGTAGGTCTCCTGATGGGAGGGAAGTTGGCACAGGGCGCCCCAGACTTGTCCTGTTGGGGCAGAAATCGCTGCCTGTCTGTCCCGTGGGCATCGATCTCCCCGTTCCCCGAGGGGGAGGAGGCCAGGCCCACATTGCACATGGATCATATTAAATCAAAAGTACTTTTAACCAAACAGAAGAATTCACTTTAAAGGTTTTTAACCTTTCTTAAGAGCCAATTTTTCCT